CATGGATGTTACTTGAATTCTCAAATTGGACAAACACAGAACATTTAATCAATAGACGTTTGGTGTGGGCTGGTTAAAAAAAACTGTGCAATGTATTATTACCCAGGCACCTGTCTAATCAATAAAAACAATAGATTTAATTACTTTCCTCTTTATGATCTTGCATACAGATTTATTTTTTGGATTTGAGGCACGCGCTAAGGACTTGAGAGAAGATTATTCTAGTTGGCCAGAGACAACCATTAACCTAAGTCTTTTAACATTGTAATCCCATTACTAAGTACCATTTCTGAAAAGTTCAATTCATTACTAGTAAGCATTTTGCTCCCAACAATTCCTAGGTCATTATATTTATACGGTTAAGAAAATAGAGAGAAAGAGAAATGGGGTTTAATGTCCACTCGACACAAACTAGGTCATTTTGGGGGCCAACATATGGTTCAATTTTATTTCAATTGCGCAAAGTGGTCTTTAACAGTGAGAAGAAACCAGAGGACCCGGAGAAAACCCATGAGGTTGGACAGGCGACTCTACTCCTTGTCACGTACAAACGGGGAATCGAAACCATACCAGTTGACTTAATGACAGACCTTATGATACAACGCACCTGCACTAACCATTCAGTCATCCAATCCCCCTGGTTAACAAAAAAACATGGAATATAACTAAATGGGATAAGGAGTGACCTCCAATTGTAACAATATTATACAGTCTTTTTCAATTTCTTTGTCAAACCATTGATATCTCTATGCATAAATTTATATTCATGGGTCTGTGGAGTTGTTGCAAAATTAAACATTACAGATTCGAACCAATTACTGCGAGACCAATGGGTTGTTGGGTTACTAAGATACATGTATTAAGTATGTCTCCGTACTGTGATTTATTCCAAAAGTATTATTTCATCATTTGCCTTACTTGTTTATGAAGACTATCCGAAGAAAAGGGTAGCCACAGTGGCTCAGTGAGTATGGCACTGGTTCACTAACTAAGAGATCCCAGGTTCAATCCCGGTGTTGGCCAGAAAACTTCCTCAGGATTTTTCAGTGTAGTTTCCCCATTTACGACATTTAGGACAGAGTTGTCAGATGGGATGAAAAACCTGGGATCCATGGACACATTGGCAGGCATGTAAAACAACCCTTGACAGATGAAGAATATGCAGAAACACTATTGCACAGGCAAACACTGCATGGGGTAGGCCAATCTTTATTATCCCTGTTGGTGCTGAAAAGTAAGACGTTAGACGGGGTTAAACCCCATTTCCTTTCGTTTCTGGAGTAAAATATGAATTTTTTTAATTACACAATTCATGAAATTATATAAATTTCAAATTTAACCAAGCGTTTTCTCGATTCGTAATAATGTTTCATTCTTTAGTTACATAAATGCACAGGCACTTGAAGGGATTAAAATAAAACTTCTTACTACTGCTTGACTAGTATTACTAACCAGCGGCTGCCAGGCAGGATACGCCCACATTTTCGAGAGATGGATAGAGAACAAGCTAAAAAGAAAGTGATTTTTCGTACAATCAGGGGCCATAATTCAGGAAGTTACGGTCCGATATGCACGAATATCGAAAGGAACCGAGATCTTTGGATTATAAAATTACATTTCAAGTTTCAACAAAATCGGATAAAAATTGTGACCTCTATAGGGTCAACAACCTTGATATACCATATTTTTATGCTATTTGAGAACGAACGGTGGCCATTTTGTCTGTCAATTTTGGGCCGATTTTCACGAAATTTTAACTCAACCATCCTTAGGGTATAATGGTGATGTAATAATACGTTTTTTTAAATCGGATAAAAATTATGACCTCTATAGGGTCCACAAGCTAAAAACGTGATTTTTCGTACAATCAGGGGCCATAATTCAGGAAGTTACGGTCCGATATGCGCGAATATCGAAAGGAACCGAGATCTTTGGGTTATCAACTTACATTTCAAGTTTCAACAAAATCAGATAACCAGCGGCTGCCAGGCAGGATACGCCCACATTTTCGAGAGATGGATAGAGAAGAGATGGATAGAGAACAAGCTAAAAAGAAGGTGATTTTTCCTACAATCAAGGGCCATAATTCAGGAAATTACAATTCGATATGCGCAAATATCGAAAAAAAACGAGATCTTTGGGTTATAAACTTACATTTCAAGTTTCAACAAAATCGGATAAAAATTGTGACCTCTATAACGTCCACAACTTTGATATACCATATTTTTACGCTATTTGAGAACGAAGGGCGGCCATTTTGTCTGTCAGTTTGGGGCCGATTTTCACGAAATTCGAACTCAGCCGTCCTTAGGGTGTAACGGTGATACAAAAAAAAGTGTTTGTTTTAAATCGGATAAAAATTATGACCTCTAAAGGGCCAACAAGCTAGAAAACGCAATTTTTCCTACAATCAAGGGCCATAATTCAGGAAATTACAATTCGATATGCGCAAATATCGAAAGAAACCGAGATCTTTGTGTTATAAACTTCAAGTTTCAACAAAATCGGATAAAAATTGTGACCTCTATAGGGTCCACAACCTTGATATACCATATTTTTACGCTATTTGAGAACGAAGGGCAGCTATTTTGTCTGTCAGTTTTGGGCCGTTTTTCACGAAATTCGAACTCAGCCGTCCTTAGGGTGTAACGGTGATATAATAATACGTTTTTTAAATCAGATAAAAATTATGACCTCTATTGGGTCCACAAGCTAAAAACGCGATTTTTCGTACAATCAGGGGTCATAATTCAGGAAGTTACTATCTGATAAGTGCGAATATTTAAAGGAAGCGAGATCTTTGGGTTATAAACTTACATTTCAAGTTTCAACAAAATCGGATAAAAATTGTGACCTCTATAGGGTCCACAACCTTGATATACCATATTTTTACATTATTCGCGTACAAGCGGCAGCCATTTTGTCCATCAGTTTTGGGCCGATTGTCACGATATTCGAACTCAACCTTTCTTACGGTGTAACGGTGATATACTAAAACGTTTTTTTAAATCGGATAAAAATTGTGACCTCAGAAGGGACTTCAAGCCAAAAACGCGATTTTTCGTACAATCAGGGGCCATAATTCAGGAAGTTACGATCCGATATGCTCGAATATCGAAAGGAACCAAGATCTTTGGGTTATAAAAATGTATTTCAAGTTTCATCAAATTCGGATCAAAATTGTGACCTCTAGAGTGTTCACAAGCTAAAAACGTGATTTTTTGACAATCAGGGGCCATAATCCATGAAGTTATGGTCCGATACATGCCAATATCGAAAGGAATAAAGCTATATTTCAAGTTTCGTTGAAATCGGATAAAAATTGTGACCTGTAGAGTGTCCACAAACAAATTGTGGACGGCCGTCCGGACGGACATTCAGGGGCGACGACAATATACGTCCACATGAAAATGTGGGCGTATAAAAATTGTGACCTCTATAGTGTCCACAAGCTAAAAACGTGATTTTTCGTACAAACAGGGGCCATAATCCATGAAGTTTCGATCCGATACATGCCAATATCGAAAGCAGCCGAGATCTTTTGGAGATAAACCTATATTTCAAGTTTCGTCAAAATCGGATAAGAATTGTGACCTGTAGAGTGTCCACAAACAAATTGTGGACGGACGGACAGGGGCGACGACAATATACATCCACATGAAAATGTGGGCGTATAAAAATACAACGTCAATCACCCACCATATGGTTTTGAATCGTTGAAGATATTTCGTCTGCTATCATCTCACAATACTCACTTTCAATCATTTTTAATTTCCACCCAAGTCATTTGTAATATAATGTTTTTTTTTATAATTTCCACCCAAGTCAATTTTAATATTTTTTTTTTTTTCTTAATTATCACCCAAGTCAATTTTAATATAATTTTTTTTCATAAATTTCACCCAAGTCAATTTTAATTTCGGGTCTGAAAATAAATGTGCTGGGGTCGACACAATCTTAGTCAGGATTTGACAGTGAAACGCATTGAAATAAAATGAAATGAAATGAAATGGGGTTTTAACATCCTACTGTCTGCTCCGACTGGACTAATGAATGCAGTATGCCAGAAGGGAAATTTTTCTCGGACAGTGAAAAAGAGTTGTCGCATATTTTTATTTTTTTCAGTAATGAAACATTTATAATACACTAAAATCTGATTACGAGTAACAACTCATTAAGTAATTATCAGAAAATCATTAGAATTTGTTTGGTTTTTATAAAGTTCTGCCCCATGCTAATGTTTAGCATACGAAACATTTAATATCATGGATTTAGCTGTTCAAGTTATCAAAATTCATTGAAAATCAATATACTTGTTTGGCTCAAGACCTTAAACTCTGTGTATCAATCTGAAATCAATTGGATGATAACATAAGCCTCTAGAGCGTCACAAGATATTTCAAAGTGATCAAGGGCCATAACTCTGGCCCTAATTACCGGATAACATTGAAAATCACAAGGCTTCTTCGTCTCATGACCTTAAACACTGTGTATAAATTTAAAGTCAATCGGATATTAACTTGAGCCTCTAGAACGTCCACAAGATGTTTCAAAGTGATCAAGGGTCATAACTCTGGCAGTAATTATCGGAAATCGCTGAAAATCAATATAATTCTTTGTCTCATGACCTTAAACACTGTGTATAAATTTAAAGTTAATCGGATATTAACTTTAGCTTGTCGACATCGGACAGGCGGACTGGGGCGACGACAATATACGACCACATTTCAATGTGGGCGTATAGAAAACAAATTATATCAAAATTGACTTGGGTAAATATATTTAAAAAATATAAATGATATTATTTTTCATGTCCCTTATCAGCCACCGTACTGTGCATAAATGTTATCAATATCCCAAATTCTTTATTTGATTTGTCAACAAAGTGTGTGATTTGGATGTCAAATGGTCTATAGCAGTGTTATCTACTGCCACACCTCCCTACAAACTATCAAGCTTAACACAACAGTACAAAAGCATGTATCATTACTTTATCTTACCTCACTTCGATGTCCTCTAAGGTTAAAGTTTGATCTAGGTGGAGCTTCGTATCTTCTACAATGACTAGTAGTAAAAGTGACACCTACTACTCCTTTAGCATTACCACTAGCAAGCCAACCCTCCATATAATACTGTGATCTATTAAGTTTCCACCCCCCTCCTTCATCGGGTAGACCATCAGGTACCTTTCCCATCCATGATAAAGAATGTATGGTAGAATCAGTCCTTGTTGAAGTATTTTGTTCAAAATGAATATGCATTCTACCAATCTGGCATATTTCTATTACAAAACAGATGACATTAGGGATATCTATACAAGAAGAATCTTTTCACATCCTTTTAGCTGAAAAAAACCCAAGTAACACACATTTATTAAATAAATATAAAGATAGGTTGCCAGGCAATGAAACATACGCCCACAGCAGCTAAATCGTCCGGGCAGTCAACATGGGTTGTCGCATATTTTTACTTTTGTTGGTAATGAAACATTTATAATACACTAAAATCTGATTAAGAGTAACAATATCATTGAAAATATACTTGTTCATCTCAAGACCTTAAACTAAGTTAAACTCTGTGTATCAATCTAAAGTCAATCGAAACAATTATATATAGGCACAATTATCAGAAATCATTGAAAATCAATAGGTTTCTTACTCTGATGACCTTTAACACTGTGTATAAGTATAAATGTAAAATCAATTGGATGATAATTATGGTCTCTAGAGCAAGTACAAGATTTTTCGAAGTGATCAAGGGCCATAACGCTGGCTGTAATTATCAGAAATCGTTGAAATCAATAGGTTTCTTCGAAACAAGACCTTAAACACTGTGTATTAATTTAAAGTCAATCAGATGTCAAATTTAGCCTCTAGAGCATCCACAAGATTTTTCAAAGGGCCATAACTCTGGCAGTAATTATAGGAAATCGGTGAAAATCAATAGGCTTCTTCGTCTCATGACCTTCAACACTGTGTATAAATTTAAATCAATAGGCTTCTTCGCAAAAAGACCTTAAACAGAAGTGTTTAAATCTAAAGTCAATCCAATATTAACTTTAGCCTCGATAGAGTCCACAAGATTATTCAAAGTGATCAAGGACCATAACTCTGGCAGTAATTATCGGAAATCAGTGAAACTCAATAGGCTTCTTCGTCTCATGACCTTCAACACTGTGTATAAATTTATTTAAAGTCAATCAGATATTAAGTTTAGCCTCTAGAGCGTCCACAAGCAATTGTGGACGCCGGACAGGCAGATGCGACGACAATACTCGACCACATTTCAATGTGGGCGTATAAAAATAATCAAATTTATTAGAATACTGTTAATTAATGACCTAATAGACAGCATTTAAATGCCATTTTGTAATCTATGCTTTAGTATGAGGTCTGGCTGAAAAGTTCTAAGCCTATCTGTTAAAGACCTGTACAAAGTCAATGGTTTCCATTTATTTTTCTACATAGTCCCCTGAGGTAGACACACTTTTGCCAACGCTGTTGCAAGGCCTGGATACCATACAAGAAGAAATTTTCTTCAGCCACCCTAAAAAAAGTCGTTCACAGCTGTTATGACATCATCATTCCTAGAACCAGCGGCTGCCAGGCAGGATACGTCCACATTTTGCAAGAGATGGATAGAAAACAAGCCAAAAACAAAAACGATTTTAGGGATAATCAGGGGCCATAATCCAGAAAGTTATGGTCTGAAATGCGCAAATATCAAAAGGGACTGAGATTTTTGGAATATAAAGATATTTTTAAGTTTCATCAAAATTGGATAAAAATTGTGACCTCTAGTGGGTCCATAACCTTTGTATTACATACTTATACACAATTTGCGTACAAAGAACGAACGGCCATTTTGTCGGTCAGTTTCATTTCGATTTTCCTTCGATCAACCTTCATTATGGTGTAATGGTGATATATCTAAACAGTTTTTAAAATCAGAAAAAAAATTGTGACCTCTAGAGAATCCACAAGCTAAAAATTCGATTTTTCGACCAATCAGGGGCCATAATCCAGGAAGTTACGTTCGGATATGTGTGATTATCAAAAGGAACCAAGATCTTATGATAAAAATATATATTTAATGTTTCATCCAAATCGCATAAAAACTGTGGTATCTACGATCCGATATGCGCGAATATCGAAAGGAACCATGATTTTGGGGTTATAAACATGCATTTCAAGTTTCATCAAAATTCGATCAAAATTGTGACCTCTAGAGTGTCCACAAGCTAAAAACGCGATTTTTCGTACAATCAGGGACCATAATCCATGAAGTTATGGTCCGATACATGCCAATATCGAAAGAAACCAAGATCTTATGGAGATAAAGCTATATTTCAAGTTTCGTTAAAATCGGATAAAAATTGTGACCTGTAGAGTATCCACAAACAAATTGTGGCCGGACGTCCGGACAAACAGGGGCGACGACAATATACGTTCACATGAAAATGTGGGCGTATAAAAATAGCATTTTTAGCTTGTGGTCCCTCTAGAGGTCACAATTTTTATCTGATTTAAACCTGGGGCTGCCATGCAGGATGCTCCCACATTTTCGAGAGATGGATATAGAACAAGCTAAAAAGAAAGTGATTTTTCCTACAATCAAGGGCCATAATTCAGGAAATTACAATTTGATATGCACAAATATCGAAAGGAACCGAGATCTTTGTGTTATAAACTTACATTTCAAGTTTCAACAAAATCGGATAAAAATTGTGACCTCTATAGGGTCCACAACCTTGATATACCATATTTTTACGCTATTTGAGAACGAACAGCGGCCATTTTGTCTGTCAATTTGGGCCGATTTACACGAAATTCGAACTCAGCCATCCTTAGGGTGTAACGGTGATATAATAATAATACGTTTTTTTAAATCGGATAAAAATTATGACCTCTATATAGGGTCCACAAGCTAAAAACGCGATTTTTCGTACAATCAGGGGACATAATTCAGGAAGTTTTGGTCCGATATGCGCAAATATCAAAAAGAACCGAGATCTTTGGGTTATAAACTTACATTTGAAGTTTCAACAAAATCGGATAAAAATTGTGACCTCTATAGGGTTTACAACCTTGATATACCATATTTTTACGCTATTTGAGAACGAACGGCAGCCATTTTGTCTGTCAATTTTTACGAAATTCGAACTCAGCCATCCTTATGGTGTAACGGTGATGTAATAATACGTTTTTTTAAATCGGATAAAAATTATGACCTCTATAGGGTCCTGTAGAGTGTCCACAAACTAATTGTGGACGTCCGGACGGACAGGGGCGACGACAATATACGTCCACATGAAAATGTGGGCGTATAAAAAGACTGTAGATATATCACATCCTAATGAAAATCGTAACAAAACTGACAGACAAAATGGCGCCCCTCATACGCAAACATATGGTATATCAAGGTTGTTGATCAACCTCTAGAGGTCACAATTTTGATCCAATTTTGATGAAACTTGAAATACATGTTTATAACCCAACGATCTTGGATCGTTTCAATATTCGCGCATATCAGATCGTATCTTCCTGAATTATGGCCCTTGATTGTATGGAAAAATCATGGTTTTAGATTGTGGTCCCTCTAAAGGTCACAATTATTATCAGATTTTAAAAAAAAAACGTTCGAATATATTACTGTTACACATCAATGAAGGTTGAGTTTGAATTTCGTAAAAGTCTGACCGAAACTGTCAGACAAAACGGACACTCCTTGTACGCAAATAGTGTAAAAGTATGTAATACCAAGGTTGTGGACACTCTAGAAGTCACAATTTCTATCCGATTTTGATAAAACTTGAAATGTATATTTATAATTTATCACAGTTACACCATAATGAAATCCAAACGAAACTGCCCGACAAAATGACCTATATGGTGGCCCATGGTCGCAATAGCGTTTTTGGGGTTATTTTTTGTATTTCATTTAAAATAATAAAAAATAAAAGTAAAAAAAAATGAAACATTTTTTTTTTCTTTTGTTTTACAAGATAAAAAAAAAAATCTTTTTAAAATAAAAAAAAATCTATAAAAAAAAAATTAATAAAATATTTAAGATTAAAAAAATCTATAAAAAAAATAACATTTTAATTAAAAAAATGACCTCTATGGTGGCCCATGGTCGCAATAGCGTTTTTGGGGTTATTTTTTGTATTTCATTTAAAATAAAAAATAAAAGTAAAAAAAAATGAAACATTTTTTTTTTCTTTTGTTTTACAAGATAAAAAAAAAAAAATCTTTTTAAAATAAAAAAAAATCTTTAAAAAAAAAATTAATAAAATATTTAAGATTAAAAAAATCTATAAAAAAAATAAAAATTTAATTAAAAAAAAAGTAAGTGAAATAGAAAAAATCAAAAAAGAATTATGCACGTGGTCCATCATCGTAATAGTGTCTTGATTATCCAGACTCAGTATAAAGTCAGCCTACGACAGCTATCATTAGACTCGAGTGACCAGAAATACCTTGTGGCCCATTGTTGCTATAGTGACTTGATTATCCTATGTGGCATAACCCGAGCGACAAGAAACGAGTTTGTAGTTATCTCCTCTTCCGAAAGGAAAAAAGTAAACAGACATCAACACGATTTTCCACCCATGACGTCTATGGACTTGGATATATGTATATATACATATGCAAGTCAATAGAAATGTATAATTAATAGACTATAGAAGCCTGGCGTCTTTTAGACTAGGTTATCCAGTCTAACTAGAACTAGGCCTACATACATAATGACGTTTGAAGTCATTGACTTTAATGACACCATTCGGCCTACTAGTGCACAATGCACAATTCTCCCCTCAATGTTTTTAAAACACTTGGTCTCTCTGAGGTCAAGATCATCACTATTCCCCCTAAACATCTCCTACGGCCAGAGACGGTGCCAAATTGCAGTATTTTGTATGACAGAAACTATTGAGAATTGTCACACATGAAATTTGTGGGTGTTCTTCGGGAATTTATAAAACATAATTAATATTTTTAATAGATGATTAGACAGAGCATAGCGATATAAGGTACGACTCAACCAACGGCAATTGTCACGTTTTACGAACTGTAGATAGACTGTAAATTACTGTCGAATTTCAAAAGTAGTTAACAACTTTGAAACTAATCCTCGAAGTATAGGCCTGGTTAGCACGTGCGCGCTGTATCATAAAGCCTGTCATATCATAAAGCCTGTCATTGAGTCAACTGGCGTGATTTCGAATCCCCGGGTGTACGTGACCAGGAGTAGGGTGACCTGTCAAACCTTGTGGGTCTGTCGTTCAGATTATCCTGTGTGGGATCTATAAAGAACCTATAGACTCGAGCAACAAGAAACGAGTCT